TTAATCCTCCGCCTGTGGTGCCAGCATCCCATATGGGCGCCAGGTTCTAGTCTCGATTGCTCCTTTTCCAGTCCAGCTCTCTGCTGTGGCCTGGGAGGGCAGTGGAGGATGGCCCAGGTGCTTGGGCCCCTGCACCAGCATGGGAGACCAGGAAGAATCTCCTGGCTCCTGGCTTCGGATCAGTGCAGCGCCAGCCGTAGCGGCCATTTGGGGAGCGAACCAATGGAAGGAAGACCTTTCTCTCTGTCTCTCTCTTTTACTTTCTAAAACTACCTGTCAAATAAAAAAAAAGAATAAAACTCATTATTTTAAGATGATTATACTTATATATTTAGAATCTACATTTTTAAGAGAATTTAGAAAGTTGGACAAATATAAGATTAAAAGTCAACCACATTTTATACAACAAATATTTAGGGAGCATAATTTTTATTTTTTAAAAGACATATCTATAGGACCAGCACCGCAGCTCACTAGGCTAATCCTCTGCCTGCGGTGCCGGCACCCCGGGGTTCTAGTCCCAGTTGGGGCGCCGGATTCTGTCCCTGTTGCTCCTCTTCTGGTCCAGCTCCCTGCTGTGGCCCGGGAGTGCGGTAGAGGATGGCCCAAGTGCTTGGGCCCCTGCACCCACGTGGGAGACCAGGAGAAGCACCTGGCTCCTGGCTTTGGATCAGTTCAGTGCGCTGGCTGCAGCGGCCATTGTGGGGTGAACCAACAGAAAAAGGAAGACCTGTCTCTCTATCTCACTGTCCACTCTGCCTGTCAAAAAAAAAGACATATCTATATATTTTATTTATTTACTTATTCATTTGGTAGGAAGAGTGACAGAGGGAGAAAGGAAGAGACAGAGGGGGAGATCTCCCATCCGCTGGCTCACTCCTCAGTGGCTGCAACAGCAGAGACGGGGCTGGGCCAAAGCCACGACCCAAGAACTCCATCAAGGCAGAAGCCCAAGCACTTGCATCCTCTTCTGTTGCTTTCCCAAGTGCATTAGCAGGGAGCTGGATCAGAAGTGGAGCAGCTGGGAATCAAATCGGTGCTCCAATATGGATTTCAGTATCGCCAGTGCTGCAAGCAGCAGCTTAACCTGCTGCACCACAACGCTGACGCCCTAGAAAGCATAATTTTTAAAATACACATCATTCAAGCAACAAAAAAAGTTAAATGGAAATAAGTTAACAATGTGTGCAAAAAATGTAGATAGTATGAAATTGTACTGAATACTTTCTAAAAGACTAATATCAAATTGAGAGAGATAATATGCTTACAAATATGGAGAGCTGCTATCATAAAGATTTAATGCAATTCTGCTTAAATTCCCAATAGGATTTTTAAAAGGAATTTACCAAGCTGCTTCTAAAATCAATAGAGAAGAGCAAAGCCCAAAAAAAATAGATAAAGCACATCTAAAGAAGAGGACTTGTTCAATCAGATATTAATATTTATTACAAAGCTATAGAAATAGACAAATTGTCTAATAGACTAGAATATATCAGAAATAGACCCACACAATCAATATACAACAGACATTGCTGAAAATAAAGCTGTGGGGAATAAAGATATATCAGATTTGCAGTAGCATCACAAATCTGAGGAAAGTCAGACTACTCAATGAGACAATTGGCAACCCCTATGCATAAAAATAAAATTGATTCCTAACTCATATCAAACCCAAGAAGCAACTCTTGACTAATTAAATATGGAAAGCAATACTGTATAGCATTTAGAAGCAAAAGCCAATGGAAACTATGTATGGATTTCTCAAACATGTCACAAAAAAGCACTAACCATGAAAGAAGAGTTTAACACATTATATTAAAATTAAGAATTTATTTTTATTCATTCATTTATTATTTATTCAAGAGAGAGAGAAATATCGTTCATGCATTCACTGGTTCACTCCTCAAATGCCCACAGCACCCAGGGCTGGGCCAGGCTGAAGTCAGGAGCCAGGAGCTCCATCAGGTGTCCCACATGGGTGGCAGGGACCCAAGTATTTGAGCCACCACCTGCTGCCTCCAAGGGAGGCACAGGAGCAGGAAGCAGGATTCTAAAGCAGAACCAGGACTCAAACCAAGGCACTTTGATAGGGGATGCTGATGTCCTAAGTGTGTTTTAACCACAACACCAAACATCCACCCCAAATTAAGAACTTCTGTTTATCAAAGACACCATAAAGGAAATTAGAGGTAAAAATTTCCAGTTGATTAAAACCACACTTGGGACACCTGCAGCCCATATCAGACGCCTGCCTCCACCTCTGATCCAGCTGCCTGCTAATACACCTGAGAGGCAACAGATGCTGGCCCAAGTACTTGGTTTCCTGCCACTCACGTGAGAGACCAGGAAGAAGCTCCTGGCTCCCAGCTCCTGCCTGGTCCATTTCTGGCTATTTCAGGTACTTGCAGAGTGAACCATGAACCAGCAGATGAAAGACTTCCCTCTCTCTCTCTCTCTCTTTCTCTCTCTGTTTGTGTGTGTGTTCTCCCTTTCTCTGTCACTCTGCCTTTCAAATCTTAAACTGAAAGATTTGCAACATGTAGTATTTCTCACTAAGGATTAGTGTATAGAATAAAGGACTATAATTCTCTGAATTAACATCAAACACACACGATTTGGCTCCCTCCTGAAACTATACTACGTGGATATTTAGGACATAAACTGGTGATAAGAAGGGAGGGACAATGGCAACAAACTTTCGAAAACTGGAAGCATGACAAATAGGCAGTAACCCACAACAGATTTCAAAGCTGAATCCAAAGCCAGCAATAGAAACTCAATACATAATTCAACTTAAAACTGTACAATTTCCAAAGTGCTCAGCTGTGGGTAATCCTGGTCTTCTCTAGAACTGAAAACAGGACAGGACCAAGGCTAAAATAAAGATTATCTGAAAGCTTATTTAAGAAACCATAAAACCCATGAATCTCGCTTCTAGTCCATGCCAGAGGGTGACCGCCTGCATCAGTCTCTGCAAGTCAGAAGGCTTAGTTTTTGGCAAGGACCTCGGGAGCAGGGATACGAGCCGAAGGCAGGATGCCATGCTGAAAACAAGCCTCCACACACTGGAGAGCAGAGTCCCCCGCACACCTCTGGGGCACTAGTCTCAGACCACTGGCACTGCCCTCAGGCCAAAGACTGGAAGTCTCTTCTGTGGAATCTCATCAGCCCAAGAGGAAAGACCTGCAGATCCTGATGTTACAGCTTGAGAGGAAAAAGCAAAATCATCCAAGCAGATCATCCTACAGTGACACTCGGGTTGACAAAGCCCATCTGCAGCTCAAAGCCTCCAATATGCTTTATCCATGAGCTGACGACGATTGCAGCCATCTGAGGAAAGCCTCTAACCAAAAATCTATGAGTTCTAAAAGGCTGCTCTCCCATTTGTGTGTATGTGGCTCTGAGTGTTTCGTGTGTGAGTGGGCTATGTTTGAGAGTGTACAGATGGATGTATACCTGCACGTGTTTAATGAGTGTCTCTGGATGCACTGTGTGTGTGTGTGTGTGTGTGTGTAGCAGGTCAGGGAAGTGCTGAGTCATGGGACCTCTGCACCTACATCTCACATATTCTGCCCACAGAACACCCTCAGCTGGGCGCAGACGATCCCAGAAGCCCCTGAGCTGAGCGATTTCAGGGTGGTTGGAGCACTGAGAGCATCAAGGGCTCGACCCTGGCCCAAAGAAGCTTCTGCTGTTAAAATCACAGGGGCGGCCTTCGCCGCGGCTCACTAGGCTAATCCTCCGCCTTGTGGTGCCGGCACACCGGGTTCTAGTCCCGGTCGGGGCGCTGGATTCTGTCCCGGTTGCCCCTCTTCCAGGCCAGCTCTCTGCTGTGGCCAGGGAGTGCAGTGGAGGATGGCCCAAGTCCTTGGGCCCTGCACCCCATGGGAGACCAGGAGAAGCACCTGGCTCCTGCCATTGGATCAGCGCGCTGCGCCCGGCCACAGCGCACTGGCCGAAGCAGCCATTGGAGGGTGAACCAACGGCAAAAGGAAGACCTTTCTCTCTGTCTGTCTCTCTCTCTCTCACTGTCCACTCTGCCTGTCAAAAATAAATAAATAAATAGATAAATCACAGGGGCAAGTGCTGGTGGCAGCGTCACCACCCCAGCACCTCACTGCCCTTTATGAGGGAACCCTTTCTGGTCTCTGACTTTGCTGGGGGTCCCCCATCCCTGTGACCCAAGCTGCCTTTTCAGAGACTTAAAACTGTAGGCTTACAACTGCCCTCAGTTGAGGACAAGGGGATTCCCAAGGGTAGAGGCTTGATCTGGGCCTCCACGGATGTGGCCAAACAAGGAGTTGAAAGGATTAGATGAGGGAAACCCCCAGAAGAGAAAGGGTCCAGGGTCTGGACCAAGAACAGAGAAAAGGTCAAGGTAGGATCAGGAGCAGGGTAAAGCAAAGGTCAGGATCAAGGGTAACATTGATGCCGGGGTCAGAGCCATGGTGGAATCAGGAACAGATCGGAGTCCAGGGAATTGAGTATTACAGTGGGTGCCACCTCCTTCAGCTCCTTCAAGGTGCCAGACTCCCAGACAGCCCTCCCTGTCCAAGACCCCTCCAAGAGGCTGCAGACTGTGCCAGGGGCCTGTGGTTCTGTTGGCATAGATCCAAGCCCTGATCCCAGGCAGCACACAGTCCAGAAGGAAGAAGGCAGGGACAGTCAGCCTTGACCTTCAAGAGAAGACAGAAATGAGACATTCAGAAAACCACTCTGAGGGCACGAGCCTGACTACAACCCCTAGTCTTGGATGGGAGAGGGAGAAAGGGGGAGGGAGGGAGGGAGGGAGGGAGAGAGAGAGAGAGAGAGAGAAGGAGGGAGGAAGGGAGGGATTCACTCACAGGTACCATGCAGAGTGACAAAGACTGGCATGAGAATCCCTCTTGCATGGGGAAGGGGATTCGGAGACCCACCTGGGATGATCTTATCTTGTCTGGGTCCAGCAAGGCTCCAGGTCTCCATGCACCTACCCACTTCTCTCCCCTCCCCTTGCCCAGGGTTTGACTCAAACCATGGAGCGCCACGTGGATCCTGAAGCCCTGCGGAAGATGGTCAAATGCAATAACCAGGACTACACCTATAAGAGTTCCATATCGGGACATCCCTATTTGCCTGAGAAGTACTGGCTTTCTCAATATGAAGGTAGGGCCTCGACCCTCACCCAGCTCTGAGTCCAGCAGCAACCCCAATAATGAGCACGAACCTCAACCTAACTTTGAGCACAACCTCCATCCTGATCCTACATCAACTCCTAACTCCGCCCGGGACCTACACTTCTTCCCTAACCACTTCCCCTGCCACTCCAACCTGACCACCAACCACCTGACCTGACCCTCTGGCTCTTGGTGGGGGAACTCCTTGTGGGTGAAAAAAGAACTAGAAGAGATCTGAGTCTCATCCTTAGAGAGGTGGAGAGAACATTAACTTCCTTCCAACAAATCTCTCCAGATGTCATCTTTCCTGCACCTCTCCGTCCCACCGCACTTCTTTCCCTCAATCTATAACCTTCTCTAATGTCTTCATGCCTCAAAATCCCCTTTGCTCCTCTCTTTCACAGCCAAGATTCTCCAAAGCGTAGTCTATCCTGTCTCTTCTTTTCCTGCCCTTCTTACACTCCATGAGAAATTAGCTCATTCGGTTAGGTTTTTGAGCTGTCTCCCTGTGCATTCCAAAAGAGCAGAGTCTTGGCTTATTCAAGATGCATCCCCTCCATCTAAAACAGGTGCAAGTTTCACAAATATTTGTTGAGTGAACTGATAATTGCCAACTGAGGTTGGGAGTCTGCACCTCCTACACTCAAACCCTTGAAGTGACCTTGTGTGGTTTCAATCCCCCGAGCCATGGGACTCTTCCATTTTTACCCCAGGAGACTCACCTTGCACATTTCACTCTGCTCCCATTCTCTACTTCTGGAAACTACTTCCTCCCTCAGCTTCTCTGATGTCTCACTTTCCTGGGGCTTGTGCACCCACAGGGAAAACTGGCTTCCTCTGGATGCCATCCTGAGCCCTCTTCTCCCCTTGCTCCTTTCCCAAGGCCATGTATCTCAGCTGCTCGTGGCTTCAGTCACTGATGGCTCCAAGTCTTCACTTCCAGGCTTGACCTGGCACCAGAATTCCACTCTTTCATCTGATCATGGCCATTTTTACCTGGATGTCCCCAGACATCCCAAACTTGCTATATCCAACCCCCCAAATCCCAAGATTCCCCCTCCTCCCCTCACACACCCGCTCTCCCTCTAGGATTTCTTTCCTTCTGCCTCTCACGTGTTCTTTTAGACTTTAGGAGAGTAGATGGTGCAAGGCCTTGTGGGACAGGACTCAGTGACTGTGCAGGTTTGAAGCAGGGAAGTGTCTTGGACAACGTCGTTTCATTTGTGAAAAATGAAAATTTTTATGGCTTCTGTGTTGAGGTTGGATTATATGATTTCAATGAGGCAAAGAGACTGGTATGCTAGTCATGGTAGTTTTTTTGTATGCCAGGCACCATTCTAGATGTTTCTTATATGTAGACCCATTTAAACCTCCTAACAGCTCTATTACCCCCATTTTAATGTTGAGCAAAATTAACTTGGTCAAGCTCAGACACAGCTGATAATTTATAGAACTGAAGTTTGAACCCAGGCAGCCTATTTACGGAGCCTCTATTAACAATGACATTATACTGTCCCCTGGTTAAGGCACTGCTGAGATATGGGATACTGGTAGAGGGGTTAGAGTGAAATGGTTCTAAGGAGGCAGAACAGGCAAACCTTGGAGCCTGGGTGTAGAAGATGATCGACAGAGGGTAGTGCCAGGATGGAAACTGACCAGTGCAAGGGATGCCACTCAGAAGCTTGCCTTAGGTGGGACACGGGCTGCACCCCAGTGTCAAAGACAAGTGTGGGGTCATACTGGGCTTAGGGGTTGCCCTGAGGGAGGCCAAGGATGTCAGCTTTGTGCCAGGGGTCAGAGGAGAAGTACCTGGGGGTCCCAGATCCTGAGAGCGGGTCCAGAGTAACACTCACTGAGTATCTGACATCCCATCCCTGTGATTAAGCAGATAAGTGCAGCCCATGCTACCTGAGCAGTGACCGTTACAACACGTGGAGGACAGCACCATACAACAGTCCCTACTGGAACAAGTACACCACCTGCCTCCCCCGACTGCCTAAGGTATCTACTGTGTTACACACACACACACACACACACACACACCCCACTCCTCCCAAACCACAGCCGCTGCTGTTGGACCATTAGTCCCTCCTTCCTTTCCCATCAACATGGGTCTTGGCCCCATCTGTGAAACTAGGGTTTGTATTTTCTAGCTGAAAAGGGAGCCCAGGACTGCGGCTTTGCTGGGTCTCTGGGTCTCAACATTTGACCAGACCCTGTGGGGACCTTTCTGAAACTTGCCAACCAGCCCCTCCCCATGTGGTCTTGGACCCTGTGACCCTCAGTCTGCCTGCTCTGGCTAGCCCTCCTTTGTGATGTAAACGAGGACAAAAAGCAAGAGAGCAAAGCTGTTCAGCACAAGCCTTCTGAGTTCAGAGCGAGGCCAGCCCCAGGCCCAGGCCCAGGCCAGAGGACCCATGGCAGGATCCAAGGCCAGAGCAGAGGTTCTTTTTTTAAGATTCATTTATTTGGAAAGCAGAGTTGACAGAGAGAAAGAAGAGGGAGGAGAGAGGCTTCCATCTGCTAGTTCACAGCCCAAATGGCTGCAACAGCCAGGAGCTGTAGCAGGTGGAATCCAGGAGCCATCAGGCCTCCCATGTGGGTGGCAGGGGCCCTGAGGGGCCCTGAGTCCTTGGGCCATTCTCCACTGCCTGGGCCTCCCAGGGGCATTAGCGGGGGCGCTGGATAGGAAGCTGGAGCAGCGGGAACTCAAACCGGCCGTCGCAGACAGAGGTTTAACCATCTGCGCCACAATGCTGGCCCCAGAAGTTCTTATAGATGGCAGACAGCTGATCTGTGATTGACCAGATCCCGTTTTTTCACTAGAAATCAGAATTCCTCCCCTCCCACCCCCGGTATCCTAGGCAGTTCTGACGGGAAAGCTGTATTGAAAAAGCACCCCCTAGAGAGACACCCAGACACAGCCACACACACAGTCACCTGGAAAAAGAAGCCAAACCGGAAGCAGACGCCCCCCAGACAGGGTCCCAGGGCCATCCCTCACCCCCGGAAGCCCTCTCCACCACCGCCCGCCCCGGCAGGCAGAGTGAAAGCGTTGCCAGGCGACAACCCCCAACACTCCGAGCCCTGGAGAGCAAGGGACCTGCTGAGGGCCAGGGAAGGCGCCGCCTGGGAGCAGGTCGGGGTGTTCTGGGAGGACCCCCAAAGCGGAGCAGCTCTTCCGGGTCAGGGCTTAGCACGTGTGCCACTTGCAGGACGCCGGGATGGAGACGGTAGCTCGAGGAATGCCCTTGGAGTACCCTCCTAAGCCGGAGCGGCTCAACGCCTACGGTAAAGGATAGGGGGGCCGGGAAAGCAGCGGGTAGCGAGAAGGCAGAGGGGTGTCGGGGGAGCCGGGTGGAGGGCAGGGCGGGGACCGGGGGTGCTGGCGAGGGTGTAGCCCTGTCTCCATGCCTCCCTGTTTTTGTCTCTTCCTCCCCTTGTCTCTGACCCTGCCCTTTCCCATCCCTGTGACCCTCTGGGGCTCCCGGGTTCCGGCACACAGAGCGCGAGGTGGTGGTGAACATGCTGAACTCGCTGTCACGGAACCAGCAGCTGCCGCGGGTCATGCCCCGATGCGGGTGCTTGGACCCGCTGCCGGGCCGCCTGCCCTACCTCGGCTACGAAAGCGCTTGCTCGGGCCGCCACTACTGCCTGCGCGGGATGGATTACTGCACCGGCGAGGCGCCGTACACGGAGCGCCGCCTGCGGCCTCTGTGCGCCGAGCAGCCGACTGTAAGGTTCGCAGGGCTCCGCCCGCCTCGGCGGGCCCCGCCGCCAGGGTCCCCGCGGACCGGGAGGCGCGCGCTCCGGCCCGCACGCAGCCCCGCCTCTAGCCCCGCGCCGGCCGCCTTGCCCGCCCGTAACCAGCCTCGTGCACGGCTCCGGCCCGCAGTCGGGCCCCAGAGCCTGGGCAGACGGCTGAGGCCGGGGAGAACCAGTGCGAAGGTCACTCCAAATCCGCGGCCCCGTCCCAAATGCACAGGGCTCCAGGTCATGTACACCGTTTTTGAGGAGGTAACCCCGAACAGGAGTCGCCTTATGCTCCTACGCCGGCCAGCCCTGCCCTCTCCCGGGGAACACATGGCCGTGCGGTGTGCATGTGTTCTCAGAAAAATCCCTTCTCTTCCTGGCCCCGGGGTCACCGTCGGTACGGGGTGGGGTCGTGGCCAGGGGCTAACGGCTAGGAATTGAGACCCAGAGCGCCCCGGCCTCCTCCTCGGAGCCCCGCGCCACCCTTGGAGGTAGATGTCCTCGCCTGTTCCCGCTAGGAACACAGGCCCAAGCTCACAGCAGAGCCTGGCCTGCCGCGCCGCGTTGGGCCTGCGACCAGGCAGCAGGCAGGGCAGGGCAGGGCAGGGCAGGGCAGGGCAGGCAAGGCTTCTAGAGAGCTGTGCAGAGGGGGTTGGGAGCCCGGTCCCTAGCCCAGGGATGGTCCCCCGCCCCTCCTCAGAGCCTGCTCCATTGTGCAAGGCTGTGGCTTATCCCTGACAGGGGCATGGAAGAGAAGGGAAGTGCCCCAGCTCCCAGAAGTCTGAGTAACGTGGCCTTGTTCATAATGCTGGAGACAGTGCTTGCCCCACAGCAAGAGTCCCAGGGGCCTTGCGGGAGGAGGACTTCCGGGGGGCTCCCTGAAGGCGGTGCTTCAGTGGGGTCTCCGTAAGGTATAAGGAAAAGGAGGACCCCTGACTGACCACGAAGCACCGCCTAGGTGCTTGGTCTAGACTGGGAACATAGGATCTACCCTTCCCTGTCCCCCCGCTGCTTCTTCCAGGGCTGTGTCACCCTACGACCACCGGCCCGGAATGGAATGTGCTGTTACAACTCTCCCGCCGTCATACTACCCATGTCCGAACCTTAGGTAAGTCTGGCACGCGCGCTCACCTGCGTGCACACCACTGGCACCTTCTTCCTGGCAGGGGGTCGGTGGGGGGGCGGCGGCTAGTTAGGGTGGGTACTATCCCCCGCGACGCACTGACAGGAAGATGCCACCAGGGGGAGCTAGTGCCATGGCGAAATCAAAGCTGGCAAGGAAAGGGAGGATCCCAAGAGAGGGCAAGGAGGCCCGTATGGAGGGGGTATCATTGGTAGTCGATTTACCCAGAGTCAAGGGTGTTGGGCTCATGGCTTAGTAAATGGTAAGAAATCAGTGTTAAGGAGCGGGTGTTGGCTATCAGAAAGTTAACAGTGGAGAGTGGGGGTGGGCAGTGTAGGAGCCCAGGGTCAGTTGTTAGCGGCAAAGGTCAGCACTGAGAATTGAAGTCAGATGTCCACTTGGAAAAGTGAGGGTCCAAAAGCTCTGAGACATGTCTCCTCGCAGATGGGATACAAGTCACTTCAAGAAGACCGGTGGTGCCCAGAGAGACAACTATGTGGTGCACCCTGAGTTTGTGTCTGAGACCTATCCCGACTACCATTGCTGGTAGAGCCTGGGCTGGCCAGGCCACGGTGGGAAGAGCAACAAATAAACTCTTTACCCCCAAAGGCAGCCTCCGGTGTCCTTACCCAGCTGGATCTGGACGTGAAGGGCCAGTTGCTGAGGCCCCTGGCAAAGCCGCCTTGACTGAGAGGCAGTTTCTCCAAATCACCCTGCCCATTCCCATCAGCGCACTGCTTCCCTGGGTGCCCTCCCGACACCCAACAGCAATCCTGCATCCAGCTCACGTCCTCCTGCCTCCGCTCAGAGCCCACCTGGGCACGCAGGGAGGATGCACCACTTCCCACTCTGAGAGGACCCTCCGGCTGACATGCCCCCAGTATGTCCCCAGTGCCCTCCCACGTCTCAGGGGGCCCAGAGTCCTCCCTTCCACAGTCAAAGCCATTTCCCTACACCCGAATCTCTAGATCTCTGCTCCCAGCGACCCCCAAAGACTGTGTTCAGAACCCTTGCTGCTCCCCCCCACTACTGAAGGGGCCCAAAACGCAATTTTGGAGGCTCTCATGACTCAAAAATTTAAAATTGCAAAACAAAGCCTTGTTCTGGGATATTCGGGTTTTTTTTTTCTTTCTTCCTTCATCAAATATGTGAAACCTCAGAGTTGTGGGCCACCCCCGGCTCCCCCATGAGGAAGAAGTGCAGTGGAGCACGACCACCTCTTGGCAGCACTAGGTTTATGAGTAACCTGTCACTCCAGGAGGGGCTGGACCCTGTAGATAACTGGGGACTGGGAGGGGGTGCAGAATCCTGTTCCTGTTCTCGAGCTATGCTGTCCTGTCCAGGGGGAACCCGCAGCTTAAGGGACTGGTTAGAGCTCCAGGTGCTGCGCGCCTTGGGCGCTGAGATCCTCCCTGAATTCCACTACCCCTGTCCCAGCTGAGAGGCTCGCACAAGGGTCGCACAGTTAAGGCCTCCACCTGACCAAATTTGCAAAAGAAGAGGCCTTTGCGGCTTTACCCTGCGGCTCTCTCTCTCTCTCTCTCACCCCAGCCTAGCTCGGACTTGCAACAATCCCGACTTGGTGCAGCTGCTGCTTCCCCCAGAACTACATTTCCCAGCTGGAAGGCACGGAGCTGGAGGCGGGCCTGAGATGCCAGGGGCAGGGCCGAGAGCAGCGGGAGGGCGGCGGGCTCAGGGCGGGGTCTCAGGTCCGCGTGATGACACATGGGGAGGGGTTGGCCGCCAGGGGCGGAGCTGAGGGCAGACTGGACGGCTGGGGCGTGGCCAAGTAAGCCAGGGGCGGGGCCTAGGAGGGGCTCCGCTGTGCAGAGCCAGGCAGCGCCCCGCCAGGCGCGGTGGCCGCCCAACTCCCGCTCTCACCAAAGGGGGATCTGCGGGAGGCTCCCTGCACCCGCACTTCTGACGGGGCGTCCCTGTTGTCTGTGAGTGAGCCGAACGGGAGGACCTGGGGAGGGGGGAGCTGCTGAGGGAGCATGATCCCTGAACTTTCGCTCCCGCCGATTAGTGTGTAGAGCGAGCTTGGACACCTGGGCCGTGGTTCCCAGCGGGCGACAGGTCCCTTGACCTCAGTCTGTCCCCGCGTACGGTGTGGCTGTCGGGCGGGGCGCCGAGGGCGGAGTATTCCCGGCTGTGTAGGCGCAGTTACTCGATCCCCACGGATCCCGTCGCAGGGGAGGGAGATGGACCGGATCGAGTTGCCTTTGACATTTCTACCCCCTCCCCCTGCGAACTGTGTCCCACAAACTGACTGTGCTTGGAATGGCCTCCCCTCGGTTGAGCTGGGCCAGGCCCTCACCCTCAGACCAGACTAGGGGCTGGCAGCCAAGACTGAGGTCGAGTGTCCAGTGGGGAGGAGGCTGCGCGAGGGCCGAGGGGAAGCAGTTCCACCCTGCAGACCCCACCTGCTCACATTATTATCTTGTTGGGTCAGATGGCAGAGGTGGTAGATTACAGGGGTCTCTAGCGCCACTACCAACACAGAACCTCTGAGTTCCTTCCCTATGGTACTAGATGCCATTAAAATGGCCTCTTTCCCACCCCCAAGAGGCCTTTCTGGTCTGTCCTGAGCCAGCAGCAGCACCAGCCCTCACAAAGACAGGCTCACTCCACCCATGCCCATCTGACTGAGAGCTCTCAGCCACCCAGCTCCCTGCTGCCCCTGCGTTCGGGCAGCCAGCTCAGACCCTTAGCTCGCATCTCCCGACACTTAGCCTGTGTGGCACTGAGGCAGGATTTTGGATCCAGGCAAGCTTGCCCCTCCCCTTGGGGTGTGTGTGACTTCAGACAGGTTTCCTTTTGTTTGGGCCACTGTTTCCTCCTCTGTAGAATAGATACTGTGGTTGTGTCTGCTCCTGCACATGGCTGCCAGGGCTGGACAGTGTGCTGGCATTTAGGAGACCAGCCGCGTACCCCCCACAGAATGGATGTTCAGTCCTTGGGGAGGTGGGTGGGCTCTTGTCCTTCACCAAAGAATCTTGGAATCCTGGAAAGTTAAGATTCTCAGGACCAAAGTGTTGGAAAAGGCATCTGAGGCCTCTGTGGTGGACTCCCCGTGCCTCTGGGAGTGATGGAGCGACAGGCTGACAATAGGAAAGCTGAGAACAAGGGGGCCGTGTCCTCTCTGGATATGGTCTCTCTCCCCTTATTCCCTCTGTGTCTGGAATGGGCCTGGATTGCCTAAGGCTGTCTTCGTCTTCGGATTCTGCTCAGCATGAGGGCATCAGCTAAGGGCTACTGCCTACATTTTCTAGGAAGGCTTTCTAACTTGTACCTGCAGGAAGTGGGAGGAAAGCTAGGTGATATGGGCTGAGAGGAAATGGATAGAAGTTGTCTCAGATAAACTGGGACTGAAAACTTAGGTAGTTGGGAGGGAAGGAGCACTAGGGATAAGGCCCTGGGGAGTGGCAATTGTGGTCCAGTGGGTTAAATCTCCACCTGCCTGTTTGAGTCCTGGCTGCTCCACTTCCGACCCAGCTCCCTGCTAATGTGCCTAGGAAAACAGTGGAAGATGGCCCAAGTTCTTGGGCCCCTACCATCCACTTCGGAGACCTGGATAGAGTTCCTGGCTCCTCCTGGCTTCAGCCCGGCCCAGCCCTGGCCATTGAGACCATTTGGGGAGTGAACCAGCAGATGAAAGGTCTCTCTGTGTCTTTCCATCTTTCAAATAAATAAATAAATCTTAAGTGTATCTTGGGTCAGGGTATAAGGTGAAGAGGGGACTCTATTAATATCTAGGGTCAACATTCTCATCTGCACTTGGAATAGGGGAGGCGGGGGAGGTGACGGCGTGGAGCACTTCCACCCAGCGTCTCCCTGGAGGTTGCCGAGGACTTACAGACACCGGCACCTGGGAGGAAGCTAATTCCTCTGCCAGGCTCCCTGTCTTCCCCCAGCTGGAGCAGTTAGGCAGCTAGCTGGCTGGCAGTGTGTATGCCTGCATGTGCACCTGGCTGGTGCTGTTTCTTTGTTGGACTCTGCCCTGGAGGCTGGGATGGGGAAAGTTCAGTGGCTTTGAGCAGCAGCCTGGGACGCACACCTTCCCCCAAGCCTGTGTTTCCCCTGAAGTCATCCTGCATGTTTAGCAAACAGTGTGTGAGTTTATGTGTGTGGTGGTGGCTATCCGATCCACAGAGACCTGGTAGGTGGAGGAAAGGCCCAACCTGGGTGGGTGAATCTCCTGGGGCAGGTGGCTTGAAGAATTTTACTGGGAGAAGCACTGATTGGATAGATCTGGCTGGACATGCAATCAGAAAGAAGCTGAGACCACATCGTGCGTTGAGCCTCCACTGTGGAACTCACCCATCTGAATTTCACTGTGAAGGTCACGAACAGCTCTAGAAGCTAGGGACGGGTACGATCTGTTAAGTGCCTCAAAAGGATTACGGTGGTGGCTACGAGCATAAGGCACTGAAGAGAAAGGCTGGGGGCAGGGAGGCCTCTCAGAAGTGCTGCAATGATACAGGGAACAGCACCTCAACTAGAGCAGTGGGTGAGTGACAGAGACAGAGCTGGGAGGTAGCTGCCCCACAGAGGTGGTGCCGGGAGCAGAACAGGAAGGTGGCCAGGGAAGCAGACTCAGGCAGACCTGAGAAGCCGCCAGCCATCCATGCCAGGATCCTGACCCCGGCCCTAACCTTTGACCCCAACCTGCCTCTCTCCAGACTGGGCCCTGGGATTGAGCCTGGCGTGGGTGTCTTCTAGAACCTGCGGATCTCATCTGTTTTCTGACTCATCAAATTCCATGCCTGGGCTGCCCCCTCCCCACTTCTCCTGCCCTCTGCCTGAGCTCTTCCTCCTCTCCTCCTCCTAGCCTTCAGCCCTGATGGAAGTCCCTAGATGCTGGCAGGGCCATCGTCCCTCTTGGAGGCCAGACACTGTGCTCCTGGGTTTGTTTCTCCACCAGAAAAATGGGGGTGCACGCCATCTCCTAGTTATGTGCTGCTCCCCAGTCACGTTGGCAAGCATTTGAGCCCGTGAGAAAGGATGTAAGGCAGAGAGAACCCGTCCTGGTAAGAGTCACCTTTGACTCTCCTCAAGCCCTTAGGTCCCAGGATACACCTGCCCAAAGGACCCACTCCCTCTACGATGCTGCCCCCAATGGAAGGATGATGAAATGAGAAAGCTCAGTCGAATGTCTCTCTCCCCTCTTTCAGACCCGGGGAGGCCAGGTTCAGACGGGCATGGCTGAGCGGCGCCACCGTCCGCCAGCTCCTTAGCTGGGGACCCATGTCCCGGAACCTTGGGGAGAAAAGCCAGGCCTATCCCCGCCGCCGCCCTGGTTTCCACGCAGACCCCAACAGCACTGAGGTGGCAGCCATGTACACCTTCCTCCCGGACAACTTCACCCCTGCCAAGCCCAAGCCGTCCAAAGAGCTGCGGCCGCTGCTGTGCTCGGCGGCTCTGGGGCTGCTGCTGGTGCTGGCCGCCGTGGTGGCCTGGTGCTACTACAGTGCCTCCCTCCGCAAAGCGGAACGTCTGCGCACCGAGCTGCTGGACCTTAACCGCGGCGGCTTCTCCATCCGCAACCAGAAGGGCGAGCAAGTCTTCCGCCTGGCCTTCCGCTCCGGCGCGCTGGACCTGGACTCCTGCAGCCGTGACGGCGCTGTGCTAGGCTGCTCGCGCACCGCCGACGGGCGCCCCCTGCACTTCTTCATCCAGACCGTGCGGCCCAAGGACACTGTCATGTGCTACCGCGTGCGCTGGGAGGAGGCGGCGCCGGGGCGCGCCGTGGAGCACGCCATGTTCCTGGGCGACGCCCCAGCGTACTGGTACGGTGGCGCGGAGATGAGGACGCAGCACTGGCCCATTCGCCTGGAGGGCCAGCTGGAGCCGCAGCCTTTTGTCACCAGCGACGTCTATTCCTCCGACGCCGCCTTCGGGGGCATCCTGGAACGCTACTGGTTATCGTCGCGCGCGGCCGCCATCAAAGTCAATGACTCAGTGCCCTTCCACCTGGGCTGGAACAGCACCGAGCGGTCGTTGAGGCTGCAGGCCCGCTACCACGACACGCCCTACAAGCCA